TCAAATGGTCGTTCACAGTAAAAACAGATTGTTCATTGTAGACTCCATGCAGTCAAACTGAGTGCTGCACATCCTACTTTATGGTACATCACTGCTGATGATAGGTTAGTAAACTTCCGCTAATTGATTACAACAAACTAAGGAATGGCAGTGATCCTGCTTACAGACACACAGGCGTTCGTTCATATAATTCCAAACGGTAACAGAACCCGATTAATTCACATCTGAGTGACTAGCATAAACAAAATGCGAACAATTGGGCGTGCACGTTAGAATCCGGTCACAGAACACGAGCACCACTTGCATACAATTCACATGAATGAGCTATAAGACCCGAGAAAACCGCTTATATGCACAAATTGGAAAACATCAATATCTCCGTCTCATTTGGAGAAAAATTCGTGTTGGTACCTGTGAACGTCAAATAGTGCTTGTGACGGGCAAACGTGTTGGGTGATGGCCATATTCGTTTAGGGCGGATGTGCTGTCATCCAGTTGAGAGGGTCAAGAATAAACACACAAACCGCAAATGAAAAATAGTGAAAAAATTATGATGAGCCGCATGCCACGCCTTGATCCTCAGTTGTATTTGATCATTGCAAACCACGATAGACGGGCAGATAGAGATGAAATCGAATAGGCTCCCAATGCAGCTTTAACAAATTACGATATTTTCTCTAGATGAAAACCTCCTTAGTCACATCATGACCAATCCGAGCGGTTCAAGATACCGCGGTGGTTCACGAACCATTAACTTCGCCTAGACGAATTGGGTTATAAAATTGGAACTTTCATGATAGGCAATCGTTACCATTATCGGATTAAACTGCTGGACTCCGTGGCTGTGTGCTGGAGAATTTCTTGCTGGGAGAGAATAGCGCGACGGGATGAACTCCCCGTGATCAAAGAATTTCATTTATTCAGTTGGTTGAATGTGAAGCCAAGAACACCGGTCATCAAAGATGACATCTCACTTTGTAAATGGCAGAGGTAAAATCCATGAATTTCCACATTACCTCGCATTTCTCCTATCTGAGACAATAACTTCAGCGAATCAACTCAGATTGAGGGACTGGAGAATTTTTCCGTGGACTCTGCGGTTTACTACTGAAAGAGTGCAACTTAAAATCTCCAATTCGAGCATAAACTGTGCGAGTTCTTTGTTTAATACTGTCCGATTTATTCGCGACTCCGGAGATCAGTACTTTAATGTGTGACGGTTTCAACCTTAAATGAGCTCGCAAACTGTGCAGTGCCAAGTCGTGTATAAACAAGGGTAACTTGTCTTACCAGCGACCACCAGACCTGGAATAGTCTACCCTGACGAACTTCTTATGAGCACCAAGTTTAGAACCGCTAACACTGAAATGGGCCCGAAAGCCACAAATGCCAATCAACCGTCAACCCAAAAATGTGCCTTTAAAAAGGACCTTTGCATTTATTTATTTTTTATTACATTAGTATGTGATGAACAGCAATCGGGGCGGACCCCATAGTCACGAATAACTGCTGCTCAGTGATGTCGACCGGTAACCTATACGCCGTGACTTGGAGTGGCGAACCACATAAGGCGTGGTATCGAACCGGGTGACACTCAACGCTGGGTAGCGGTGGCGGGGCTCGAACCTCGGACCATAGGGCCCTAAGCACGCTAGTGACAGCGACTAAACCACTGAGCCATCCTAGTTGGGCGGAAGACAATTTAAACGCTGTGGAAGTAGAATATACGATGTGAGTGTGGATGGTGAGACATGAATTCAGATCTAAACCAATCTCCGAATACCTATTGTGCTTCTACTGGACGTTTAGACTGACACACTTAAGCTGTCGCCATCAAGGCCGATTGCAGCACCGGATGCAGACCTGAAAGCAAGACGCTAGAAAGACAGAACGCTCAGTTTGACCATTATAAATGAACCAATGAGCTAGCCGATGCGACTGATGTTTGTTCGGTGAGGCATTAAGTGAAAAATGCTATTTCTGTTTAAAAATGCCTACTTCTCAGGTATGCTTTAATGTATTCTTTTACTATTTGAATATTTTGTGCACCATTTTAGGTCTCTATGTTCACTCCTCTGGCTGTTGACTGGGCAAATATGTAAAATACCTCATTTTTACATCAAATTTCAGGGTCTTCGTGCCTGCGGCTGAAGCAGTAAATCCAACTTGCGTTCTGTGAAAAGTACATGTTCTATCGCATGCTTCCTGTGTTATCAATTTGTAGCTGGGTTACCAATGGTAGTGGGGTATAATACTGTATAAGGATCGTGATTAAGAGCAAGATGACCATGTTCTCCACTGAAGTGCATGCTTCGTTGTATTAGGACCCACCTCATATCTGCTCGTGTGCTCACGACTAGTGACATCATGCGCGCCGCTGGCGGGTGGCCAATTTGTGTCCTCATCTATCAGCGCTGGTGTGTATTGGATCAAATTTGTGCTTACTCCGTTTGGGTCAGGCCTTGTATCATCTTGTTGTGCATAATTCTGTGAGTTATACTGTCATGCGCAACAAGGACTCAAGCTGAGAATTTATTAATCAACGCGTCTTAATATGATAACTGCAAGAGTTGATACCTCTGTTCGTCAAACCCCTGATCGGCTGCCCGCCCATCCTAACGAATCCACGATTGTTGCAAAAATTGAAATTACAGAGATGAATGAACGCGGCACAATCGCTTAAGCACACACACATACAGATAGACACACAAAAGTTCTCACAGTAACTCACAAAAACATGTGGATGTATTTAATTTTTTCAATTTCTGTCAATAAACAGTTTCTATACATTGTCATGGAATGCTCTACGAAGTCAATATACAGCAGAGAATATGCTAATCAGAGATAAGCTTAATAGATTTTTTCTGCCGGAATCGAGTCGATGCGTTCGAGAAGTATGAGCTGTCCCAGCACTTTGTCATCTATTGCCCCACGTGGTAGGTTTGAAAGATTGTCAACTAGAATGCGTAATAAACGGGGATGCAAATAACTTTCGGAATCCAGACACGTCACTTTCCATCGCCGATAGTGTTCAGTGGTCACGAGATGAAGAAATTGTCTGAGTGTGGAACCACGCCACGGAGCAATAGCGAGGAATGCAGAACACCGACGATAAGAAAGTAAAGCATCGATCAACTGTAATAATCCTCGATGCCCTGTGAGATTGAAAAAGCAGTCAGCTGCCAAGACCAAATCGAATGAATGAAGCAGCGAGGGGTCCAGCTCAGATGTCTCGACTTCATTCTGTGAAAACGTGCAGAGATACATGGAAAAACAATCAGTATTCGTGCACGTTTCAAATGTAAGCATGGAGATCAGAGTTGGAAAAATTTCGGGAAAGTACATGCGTACACAATCTAAATCACGCTCGTGAGAACCTTATTGCTACAGGGGGCCCATTGATCACGGGCAACGGTACATCGAATGATAACGATGTCCGTTTTAGAAACCCATAAATAGATAAACTTAGGATAGTTATCTAACTGGCTGATTACAGCTCAGTTTACAACGACAACAGAGGCGAGTAAGCGAGTTTGACAAGGCTAGTGACAGTTAATGCTGTAGTGGTGCAGGGGGAAGGGGACAAAGGTCAAACGAAAAACGGTAGAGAGATGGGCAGATTAAAATGCTGATGAAAGTTGTGAGGTTGTAAGTTGGAAGGGCAGCGATGACATGGAACTTCTCAAAGGACGTTTGTCTAAAGTGATCTCTGGAACGTTTCCTGTAGCTCAACCGTATATCATCACTGCCACTAGGTCCTCAATGCTCCAGCAAACAAAAGATGAGATGCTTCATCAGTTCGGTTTCATGTCTTTTCGCGTGCACTAGTAGCGTGTGATGCACTGGGCATAAAACCAGGAGATTATCAAAACGTAATGCTGAGCACTGTTCAGAGGTTTTCTACAAAGGAACAGTTAGGTGCATTCGCAGCTCGATTCTCGGCCATCTCGTCGATATCGAGCATATTGTGAACAAAGTGGATGCATTCAAAATTATTCACACCATACCCCGGAAATATTCTAAGGGAATGAGAAGACAGCTTTTGACCACGGTTGAGACGATCGTAATTCGCATTTTCAATCCAGAATTATGCAAGCAAAAGAAGCTGTTCCAGATACTGTTCTTGTTGCCCGGGCATGGACAGCGGATTGATTGTACATACAGCAGAGCATCAACCCTCCTCCCCACACCACCACCCCTCACCCAGTATCGTCTACCACAACCTTAACAATGAATTATTTTTGTCTCCTCTGTCTCTTCCCAATTACATCACATGTACGACATACAGTTTCTATACATTTTTCAATTTAAGATGTTCGAATATCACTTTAAGATGTCGAAGCATCAATTTAAGATGCCCAAATATCAATTTAAGATGTCATGTTGCTATGTTGATAGTACGACAACCTGATTGCTCCATTGTTTCACATTGTCTTGTACTTTTTGTGATGATCTTGCTGCCATGTGCAGTTCCCTTCATATATTCATGTCAATGATCCAGGATGAAGGTTTACGTGGGGTGGGATGGGATGGGCTGTTCTCCCCGACCGTTATGTCTGGTCGTTGATCAAGTGTTGTCATTGATGCGAATGAACCAACCCGGCGGTAATTGGCCTCTGCGTTTCAGGAAAGAAGCGAATCGCGTCAAGATGGATCGATAAATAGGTCACCATGCCCAGACGTGAATGTTCGGATAAATCACTGCATGGGTGGATTGAGTCTAGGCCCTCAATATCCTGGTGAGTAAATTATATTGTGGCAGTGATTCCCTTTTAGGGACGGAGGGTGCCATCTGACGACCTGCGTAAGCGATCCGATCTCTAATATCCCGTGCTTCTTGATGTCCCGGTATGTATCAGGAATAACGACCGATTGGTCAAGGAAAAGAAAATTGTTCCCTTAAAGGCACCGGAAGTTTAGCCTGACTACGCTCGAGAGTGTCTAAAAGCAAAGAGCTTGGCGAACGAAAGTGTAGCACTGAACTCATGCACCGATTAAAGTGAAGTTAAATCACCGGAGGTGGCAGTGACTTAAGCAAAGATGAAAGACCTAGCTGAAGAGGCCGTTTCAGGATATTGAAGATCCTGGCGGAATCTATGCTACAAAGGAGAAGGACGCACAAGCGAGATGATCCAAGCAACCAATGTTTGCAACCATGTGAAACCATACATGCGGAGCAGGCAGACCAAACAAGGTGACAACTCTCGACCATGTTACACTGTCGATCTGAAGCCTCTACACCCTCAAATCGAATCGAATTGAATCGAATGCGATTATTTACGTATTTCTGACATTGAGAGGCATGCTTTACAGGATAATTAACAATGGCACAGGGATACAGTGGAAGAATTACCAGTGTTCCACATGAATAGTAAGATCGAATTGAACCTACCTAATGGATAACAACAATCAAATTTTTCTGACATTTACGGGATGACTATTACATTCAATCCACAATGCCAGTGGCAACAATCTGTCACCCACAACTTCTCCCATCGCCGCTCAGCTTCATCGCATATTTTCTTATCCCCATTGTTTCATTGATCAACCCTTAGCATATTTTCACATCCTGATTGCATGCGTTCGATCTGGATAGTTTAGTGAATGAGACAGTTGGCGATAAGAATGAGTTACAGTTACCCATGAACCCACAAACGATAACAACTCTGCACTGGGTGCTCCATGGGGTATTTGGTTGAGACGGTTAAAGTATTCTATCCACGTTTACCTTACTATTGATCAGCGATTTTCCTTTATTTGAAGAACATTTGCCTCTACTGACGAGTTCATGAAGAATCCGGGAACTGTTACAAAGTGGTATCCGCGGTTCCAGTGAATGTCATATAAGGGAAGAGAGTCAGTGATATTTTTACACAGATAAAATGGCGTGTTTTTATTTTAGTGGATTGAGACGGTTGATTTATTCGCACGATTTCCGATCTGCTCATCTCTCTACCGCTTTTCATTTGACTTTTGTCCTCTCACCCGCTAAACGACTATTGCAGTGACTGTCATCAGCCTTGTCTTATTCGCTTGCTCTGCTTGCCCGCCTCTGCCATCATTATAAACTTAGAACAGTCCTTCCTAGAATATTTTACCAACATGGTAAACTGAATAGTGGAATTCAATAAATAGTGTATTTAATTCAAAACAACCTGGCCAGTTTAAGAACACCAACATTTCCAGTACTAAATCAACATTTATGGAGGAAAAGTAATGAAGGAATTGTAGTATCAGTACATTCAGTTATTTGAGAAAGGGGATGGCGGCTATAATCAATCCATGAGTGACATAAAAAAGAGAAGGTCGAGTGGTAATCAGAGAGAGACTGGTGAACATACGAACTATTGGTGACAAGAGCATCCGTTCGGACTGACTCGAAACCAAAGAATAATGTTGACTTTACACAATAGAGTACCTATTGAAATATATGGAACTGAAAGATAACGATGTGAGCTAGATATTGAAAATTTCGCAACCTTAGTATGCAACATTTATGCGTATTCCCGCTATCGCATGTCATTACCAGCGAACGCACTTTTAGCATTCATCTCGAATGAGCAATTGGGGCAAATAACTGAAGAAAGTAAACGCATCTGATTCGCCGAATAGGTCTTCCAAATAGAGTTTAAAAGTCTCGACGATAGAACCAGATTAAGCAACTTCTTCATTGACGATTTATGAAAGGACAAAAGCCGAAAGCCTCAATACGGTACAGGGTAGGTAGCTCCGATGATGAAATTCCTCTTGCAACTCAAGAAATGCTCCTCTACGACCAATCGTCTCAAATAGCCTCTGCTGAGGAAGCCCTGCTCGCTGTCTTCCCGTGACGGAGGTGTTTCCCCACCAAAGTGAGGGTGGAAAAAGCCAACATCCGGGGTTATAACCAGCTCACTGGACAATTGGCAAGTCTCCTAGGTGAGTTGGTTAAAAACCTTGATCTCAAACCGTCTGGATTCCGATGTGTGTGGAATATATATATATATATATATATATATATATATATATATAATCATTGACAAATTACAATTGCTAACGAATCGAATATCTGAGATCTGGGTCGAGTGAAATGCAAAAAGGAGTCGTAACTGGAGCCTGGTCACTACAGAACGGCTACGTGTGACCGGTGAACTTGAAATTTCCTAAAAAAATTTCGACTCGTTATCCGATTGCCACTTTTTGACTTTTGATACCTCGTCCAAGTCACCACAGTTTTATGACGCATCAGCACTTAGTGAAGAAAGCTACACGTTCTGCTCTGTTATTCAGGTTAACCATTGATTCGCTGTATTCTGGATTGTAACAGCTAGTTTTGATAACTCCTTTCCCATAAAATATAATTGTAGTGAAAAACAGTTTTTTATTATTCGAATTTTCTGATGTAATGAATGCTTTGGTCATTTGTGATGTTGTGATAAGCGATCCCCCAAACAAGGGCTTGAACAGCAAACTCAACCCGTCGACAGTGAACATCTTTCAAACCACAAAACGAAAAATTCAAACCCTTTTCAATAAATTGGTTCGAGCTGACATCAATTCGAACTTTACCTTAATACACAATCCTCAGTTCATTCAGTCAACCATACAGTCGGAAGCACTCGACTGGACGAACTGGAGATTGTGCGTGAAGGTGAAAGCAGAAGGACAGTCAGCTCAAATCAATATCAATTATCCCACACCACTACTCAAGTTACTGTGAGTTAAATGCAAGTTACCATAATGAAATCCCACATTAGAATCAACCAATCGCATTCGTAACATCAGCCCAATATATCAGTTTGATATTTTTCACTCGCTATGTAATTACATTCAGTTCATTTCAGCTTTTACAACCATTAACCATGCACTTTCGTGCGTCACTTTTGGTTGCTGTCTTTTGGCCCCTCATTTGGATAAGAGAGCATGATGAAGACGGGAATGTTGAGAGCAGATTTAAGGGGAAGATAGAGGGGAATTCGTATAGACTGAGGTTGCAGGAATAATGAGTAGATGCATGAGCGACATAATTTGCGACATCCAACCAGATCACTCAGTGTCCATAACCACCGATGACCATGATTTCGGGGTCTCCATCCAGGGAGCCATAACGGGGCCCATGTGACTCAGTCCCTGGTTAGGGTTTTCATACCCTCATGCCAGGTCTTCTTTTGACCGCCCTTTACCTTTTTCCATCCGCTACCTGCCTCGGCAAACATCGTGCCCAATGACAACCTATTTGGTGACATGCGTAACACATACCCCAA